TAATTTATTTTATTTTTGGCTGCATTGGGTCTTTGTTGCTGCGCGAGGGCTTTCTCTAGTTGAGGCAAGCAGGGACTACTCTTCGTTGAGGTGCACGGGCTTCTCATTGCGGTAGCTTCTCTTGTTGCGGAGCACAGGCTCTAGGTGCACAGGTTTCAGTAGCTGTGGCTCGTGGGTTCTAGAGCTCAGGCTCAGTAGTTGTGGTGCACGGGCTTAGTTGCTCTGCGGCATGTGGGATCTTCCCGGACCAGGGCTTGAACCCGTGTCTCCTGCATTGGCAGGCGGATTCTTAACCACTGTGCCACCAGGGAAGCCCACCATCTTTCAGCAAGTGTATCTATCAGACAGCGTTGTCTGCAGCCAAAGTATTGGAATTCAGCCAAGCATGGAGATTTTAATGGTATATTTAGCCACTAGTATCTCTACACTAAAGTTGTTATATTATTCACGTAGTTATCACTATTATTTCAATTTAGTGGTTAAGAGCTCATGTTGCGGAGTCAGAGAGATCTATGTCTGAATGCCAGCTCTGCCCCATAGTAGCTGTGTGACTTTGATAAAGTTATTTACCACTTATACACAAGAAGCCACAGTTTCCTCACCTGTACTGTGGGGATGATGATAACACTGACCTTACAAATAGATTATTGTTAAAATAAAGAAGATAATATACACTAAAAACTACTTAAATGCTTTGCCTGTAAAATACACATTATGTATATAAAATGTACATTACATATGTACATAAAATATACATTACATAGTAATAACAATCATTATGGACCACTTTTGTGCATTATCTTCACAACTATTTAATATACTTAATATCAACATATCAAAACCCCCTCCCCCACTCCCACCCCCCTCTTCAAAGACATTGAAGTTACAACTGAGAAACTTAAGGTCACATAACTATATGAATTGTCGAAGCTGAGATGCCAGACCAGCTCTGCCAAACTCAGAAGCCCGTGTCTTGATCCTGTCTCCTGGGGGTCAGCTCAGTCCACTGCTAGCTTAGTGCTTATCAAGCCCTGCTGATGGCCCCCAGCTGGCCTTCTTTAGATCATATAAGGAGACACCAGCCCCCTGATACTCCAATCTGTCCCATGTCTTTTCCTTCTGAATTGCTTACAACAAGAGGGGTGGGTTGAAAAGTTTGCTTCTTTTCTAATTACCACTTACGATTATCACTGAGCTCTCTGACCATTCTATTTCAGTCAACATTAACTGTGATTAGATATTTGAGAATTGAGTTGTATCCAAATCAGGGTAACAATAATGGTAAATTCAACTAAGAACTGAAGATGACAGAAGGTCTGGTGAATCACATATAACAAATGACATCAACCTTATATATACTATTCAGTCATACAAACCAATTGAATCACCTGGCAATCCAATTTTTAAATTATTAATCATTTTGTGTTTGGATGAGAATTATATATTCAACATTTATAGGAATTAAGATCAATTACTTGCACTTTTTTAAAGATAACAGCTTAACTGAGGTATAATTCAGCTACAAATTCACCTTGGAACAACTTTAAGACTTTTTTCCCTAGCCTTGTTTCCTCCTTAAAAGGTCCATACTATTCAAGAAATACAAGTTTTAAAGCCAACAATTATTAAGTTAGATTTTTTTTTCCAACAAAAGGTTTCACATATTTAATACTGAGCTACACAGTGAGCAGTGGTGAGGAAAGATCAAGAAAAGAGGAGAGAGCCATTCCATTTCTCCCATCAAACACAGGCAGCTGTTCCAGACACTAGTGATGTTCTGATACGGTAAGAATTGACCTTGATAGCGTAAATGTGTGCCACTTCATATGTGAGGCTCCTTATAGACCCAGCTTGGTTCTTCTTCAATGCCTTCTCTTGGAATTGTACCTGATTTTATTACCAGTTTTCATTGGAATCCACTGGAGAATGGGACGATTCTGCTTTTGTTTCTTGGCCAGGAATCGCTTGATCCTGAAGTCTTGTGGGAAGACATGGCGAGGAGCAAATCCAACCGCACATAGGATGGCGGACAAGAGAAAAGAGCTTAAGTTAGATTTTAATGCACTTTAATCACTTTTCTTTGATGAAAAGAGAAATAAAAATGTTCCTGTTGCTTCTCATTGGCAAAACTCCAATTTGCTCTTATTGCTATATGTTGGGACGGTTCAATTTCCAAAGAAATGAGTCAAGTCACCAACACGCAACTTTACGTCACACTACCTTGGAATTCGGCGGCGCAAACAATAGTGAACTATTCCTGCATAAAACCCCACTAACAAGGACTAAATGGAAAAGCAGATGGCTTGAAACAAGGAATAGGTTTTCTTTTAATAAGCACATTCTACGGTTAAGCTAGACAAGGTGTGGGGAAGGGCTTCCCTCCCTGGCCCTGCTCGGGCGCGCGTGCTCGCCCGTCCCTCCCTCCCCGCGGGGACCGGGCCCGGGTCACCGCGCCAGGTGAGCGGACCTCGGCCGCGTGGAGGCCGCCGCCCGACCGCAGGGACAAGGGCAGGGCCGGCGGCCGAGGGCCGAGGACATCTTCCTTTCCGCGTCGGCCCGGCCGCCGAGGCGGGGAGGCTGCAAAGGCAGAGGCAGCACCGGACAAGCGTCCGAGCCAGCGGGCGCGGGCGGGGCGCGCCGGGCGCGGGCAGATGCCGGGACTCCGACTCGAGCCGGGGACCGGCCCCCCGGCCCCGCGGCGCCCCCGGCCCCGCCCCGCACGCCCCCACCCCCGCCCCCACCGGCCCACCCCCCCGCGCCGACGCCCGCCGGCGCCGCGGGCCGAGTGGTGGGCGCGGAGCGGCCGCTCGGCTCCTCGGCTGCGGCTCCAGCTCGAGCCGGCGCCCGGCGCGCCCCTCCTGGAGGAGGAGGAGGAAGGAGGCGGGAGGAGGAGTTGCGGGAAGGAGGGCCGAGCGCGGCAGTCGCGCCGGCGCTGGGCGAGGAAGCGGAGCGGGCGGCCGCCGGGTGAGCGTCTGCGGAGCCGAGTTGGAGGCTGGGTCCGGGCTCGGCTTCCCGCCCCCTCTCCTCGGCGGCCCGGGGAACCGGCCACGGCGGTGCCCCTTCTCCTCCGGCCGGCGGGGCGGCTCCGGCGCGGAGGGGGTCGGGGAGGCCGCCCGGCGGGGAGCGGCGAGGGTCCCGGCGGCGTGAGGCCCTGCGCGCCTCCGCGGGTTCGCGGGCGGGGGCCGGGCCGGCGGGGAGCGGCGTCCGGGAAGCTGGGCTGGGGAGGGCTGAGGCCTGCTTCCGCCGCGCGCCGGCCGGACCCCTCGGCCTCTCGCCCGCCGCGCGCGCCGGGCCCGGGCCGCCGCCTTTGTTGCCCGCAGTCCGCCGGGGAGAGGCCGGGGCTCAGCAAGGCCTGGGGCGGCGGCGCGGGGCCTGCGTGCTCCGCAGCCCCTCGGCCGCGCTCGGACCCCCGGGCTGTAGGCCGGCGGCCGCAGGGCGGGCTGGGGGCCGTAGGCCGCGCCTGTGCCGTACCCCGGGGGGTCGCGTCTGGCCGAGACCCTGGTCTGTTCCGCGCGTGGAGGCGCCGCCGGACCCTCACGGGCTCGCGCGGGCGTGGGGACTAGAGATGTCAAGCCGCCCCCGAGACGGGCCTTGATTTTCAATTTGCTTCAGGTGTTGACAACTTCAGGTACACCTTTGTGGTTCATTCTGGGCCAGAACTACTGACATTTCTTGGGGGCAGGTCCTGGCGCAGAACTTGGAATGTGTGCGGTCGCCTGTAGGCCACCTTAACATTTAGTCGGAATGTGGAATTTTGGGTTGCCATCCGTACTTTTTGGAATTCAGGGCCAGGTGGGAATATGTGGCGGAGCTCAGGCTTTCGGTAATGAAATATATAATGTTGAATTCAGTTCAGCAGATGTTTCGTGAACGTCTACCCCGGAAAAGGCGATATGCCGCTTTACTGGGTATGAGGACGGAGAACGTAGTAATCACAATTATAATGTGAATGGTTTCCGAATATGTTCTTCGTGGACCGTGTTCCTTGGAATAAAGATATATGTGTATTCAAGCAAAAGTAAACTGCTATCTACTTCAAGATGAAATGTCTGAGGTTTTCTCAACCGTAGTAGGTGTACATTTATCCTGACCTTTTTTGTTAACCTAACAAATATCACAACATAAAATCTACTTAGCTTACTTGAATGAATGAATCTTAAGTGGACTGTTTAGTGCTGTGGGGAATCAGTTTTGTTTAGAAACATGAACAGCGGTTGTTTATCACGTTTCACAGAGAAAACCCGAAAACATAGCCTGTGATCCGTTCCCCACGCTTTCTTATTTATTTCTCAGTGCCGCATTAGGTAGCATGGATGGGGTAAGTTTCGGAAGCCATTCCAGAATATACAGCACAGAAGATGTGGCCTCAACCCTCTGGTTCCGACATTGTCCCTAATGTTTCCTTGTTGCCTTGGGGGAAGCTGGCCCACTGACCTTGGGCTTAACTAGGACACTTTAGAAGAACTCACCTGTGACTTGGCAAGTGCTTTCCACTGGTCTGGGTACGATCACCCAGATTATTCACCTGAACCTTTACCCTTTTTACAGCTCCCTTCATCTCTTCTGAAACATTTTTGCCTTTTTTTTTTTTTTATGATCTTTAAATACCTCCTGAATTGATGGGAAGTACATGGCGCTGCCCCTTTCCCTTCTTTTAGTGGGAAGATGGGCAGGCCTTAAACACGGCGTCTGCAGGACCCAGGGGCACACTCTTGGTGTCACCTAGCACCCTCCGCATAGCACCTTGCAGGGAGTGGCAGAGAAAGGGTTTGGGTGCCACTGACCTGGGCTGCAGTCATCCTGGGCTGTGCCATGACCTGGGAGGGAAACTCAGCTGTACTGAATGGATTCCTACTCATCTCATGGTCCCGAGTGCTCCTTTAAAAAAAAAAAAAAAAATTATCTATCTAGTTGGTTGCACCGGGGCTTAGTTGCAGCAGGCGGGCTCCTTAGTGGCAACATGCGAACTCTTAGTTGTGGCATGCATGCGGGATCTAGTTCCCTGACCAGGGATTGCACCCGGGCCCCCTGCACTGAGAGCACAGAGCCTTAACCATTGTGCAACCAGGGAAGTCCCTGAGTGCTCCTTCAATGGCCCTCTTCTTAGGGAACAGAAGGAAGCATCTTCTTAAGCCTGTCTTGTTGGGTAACGTCACTCTGCAGAGAAAACTCTGGTAGTTTTCTCCATTGTGGTCAGTTTTCAGGAAACTTTTGTGTTACTAACATTATCTTTTATTTTGCTCATAGAAGTGCCTGTGTGATCTTATTTAAAAGTCATAACGTACTCCAGAAAAGGGAACTGTTACGCCCATTTCTGAATTTGTGGCAGTTACTGTTATCGCTAGCTTAAAAATACACAGTCATGCGAAATGGATCGGTGCACACGCACATACACACACAAATATACTGAAGTATAAGGTCAGATACCCCACGTTATTTATAATCTCGAATAACTAATGAGTGTGTATGCACCTATTTTGATACTTAGTAAGGGTAGGTAGGCAAATGACCAAGAGTTAAAGGTCACCTTTTGCTGTTTTCTGCTTGTTGCATTTTATGGGAAACGAAGATTGTCTATTTCAGTTCTCTGTCCTCATCCCTGACCTCTTCCACTTTTGGAAATGACACATCTGTGGCGCCTGGGTAATTTTGTAAAATTATTGCTTTTGCAAGGGAGAAATTTATAATATTAGTATGTGTCATAAAAAGGGGAAACTTTCTTGTATGACTGGCTTGATTGAAAGAGTTGTCCAGGTAGAGAGAGAGAGAAACAGCAGTGGGACATGTTTTAAAGTGTATTGAGAGTGAAATTGTCATTAATATTTTTATGGTTAATTTATTATGCTGCACAACACGTTGGTTTAGCTAGTAAGTAGGGAAGGCTTTTGGACTGAGGGCACATTTTACCTTAAACCAACTTCAGAGTCATCTTTGATGATTCATACAAACATTACGTTTTACTTTGTTGTGACGTTTGTTTTGGGTGACTTGGTCTCCTTAATGTTTGAAGAATAGACAGACTTAGATAAAGTCATTTAAGACTTCCATTCTCCCTTTGCACACAGAGGACGTTTTAGACGTGTTAGGTCTTTAGGGAAGAGCGTACATTACTAGCTTTGTGACCTTGAACCCATTATATAACCCCTTTGAGCCTTACTCCTCATGTGGGGCTAAGGTGGGGATGATCTATCTGTCACAGTTACTGTGAATACATGTATATTTTGTTTAAAGTAAAATCCAAACTCTTTACCATCGACCACAAGACTTCTGCCTGGTTCTTCAGCACACTTTGAACAACCCTCTCTCCGCCTTAGCACAAAGGTGTGGTCTAGCCTTTCTGTTCCTCAACATTCCAAGCTGCGTCTGGCTTCCTCCCCTTTGACAGTTTTCCTAGACTGCTCTTCAGTGGTGCCCCCTGTGGTTGGTTCATTCTCAGGGTCACCCTCTCAGAGAAGCCTTCTCTGACCACCCTTCCTTCCAGCTCCTTCAGTAATCCCATTTTATCAATTCGTCTGTTTCTGATATAATGTTCATTACTAAGTTCCTTGTGGAGGGCGTGGGCTGTGGTCTTCCTCCTTTGTCTCCCTCACACATGGCATGGAGCCTGGCCACTGAGTGGGGACATGGTGTACAGAAAGCACTTGTAGCTTTTACACGTTTGTCTGCCTGTTAAAGGCAGAGATGTGCTGGCTGGATCTTAGACATCTGTTGGGTTTTTTGTGTTTTTTATTTATCCCTGGCTGAGTTGATCTGCTCAACTGAATAAATCATAGCACTGATAAGGCCAACGTTCTTGACACTACATGGCCCCAAATCCCCACACAGGGAGGACTACATCTTCTTGTAGAACCGCGATGTGTGTCTGAGTTCACTCACATGCCCCACTGGCTGGTCGTGAAGATGCACAGGCCTCTTGTCGCTTCTGGAAGCACAGTTAACTGGAGTGTGAGGAGAGTAACGGCCCCAGAGCACATTTCCCTTGATGCTGCCTTACAGAGCTTAGCAAGGTAAAGCTTCAGTTGTCTGGAACCTCGGGCATCCTCAGAATTAAGCAGGAAGGAAGAACTCGTTAGGAATTAGACAAGCCAGAGACCTGGGTGACTGACTGCAGCTGGTGAAGGCAGTCTCTCATAGGGTTGCAGATCGAAGTTTGCATTTCAACACTGTGATTTTATAGGGTAGGTTTTTAAAATAAAATCAAAGTCTTATTTGTCTTATCTGTAAAATAATCATGGTGCCTTCCTCAACATTGGTGTAATAATTGAGATAATGCATGTAAGTGTATGAGTTCGGTGCCTGGCATATAACAGGTGCTAACAGTAATAATTAGTTTAAAACGTACTGTGATTAGTTAAAAGGAGTATTCTGGTTAATCAGCAATATCTGCATAAGACTTGGTTTTTCTTGTTGAGGAAGCCCCATGTGGGGAGTCGGTGTGAGACCAAAGAGATGAGAAAAATGGAAGTAAAAGAGGAAGGAGAGTGGGAGTCTACAGAAGTATTACTGGTGCAGCTACTAGAATTGTGAGGGCTACACATGGGTGCAGTGTAAGCAGCGGTGGGTTGACTGGCTCTGGGTCACTGCGGTCAGTTGGTGGGAAACCTAGAACAGAAAGGTACTGCATGTGGCCACCTGCAAGGCCCTGGGCGCTTGTTCTCCTACTGATTGTTTTAATATTGTCTTATCACTCTCAGCAGCCATCACACTGAAATTTTTTCTTAAAATTATTAAAAGGGCATCACACTTGGAGACTATGTTTGGGGAGCGGTGGCTATCCCATTGTCCTTGGGAGCCGACTCTTGAGTAGTAGAGAAGAAGGAAAGAAGAAAACACCACATCTCTCTGAAGGCCTGGGAGACGAAGTTTCCTGAGCATCAGTAAACCCTGCAAGCGTCACTATGCCGTCCTGAAATCTTCCAACAGGTAAATCTGATCATGTGAAGAGGCGTCTGTCTATATACAGCATGAGATTAATGTACACACTTGTGTTTAAAGTGTCTCTTTTAAGAAGGCAGAGGAATATATGGCTCTTATTAGATAAAATTTCTATCAAAAACAATTTTAAGACTTTAATGTTACTCTTTAGAACTATTTAGAAAAGATGTATTCAGCATGTGCTCTAGATGACCTATTATTCGGTGCTGCTCGCTGTTGTACTAACAGTGATAGACATTATTCTGGCCACACCAATGACACACTGGGTGGTGTTAGCAGCAAGGTTAACACACGTTTAAAGTAAGATGAATTCTTACTGGTAGACTTGTATGATTTTCCTTTTGTTTTGATGTTTATAATAATGAAGGTGTTTGTTATTAAACCTGAGTTTGGGTTTTAAACGAAATATCATCATCCCTCTGACAATAGTCATTTTTGTCTGTTGACATTGCTTTTAAAGTAAAAAATATATATATATATATTCAGGGAATAACATTATTACCAAATATCACTGACTGTCGGAATATGTAAGCATGTACCAAACATAGAATTGTATTAGGACTTAGTGGTTTTGTACATTGGCAGAATTACTGCCTTTTAGAATTAGAAGGAACCTTCTGATAACCTCATCCTTATGCAGATGATGAGGAAATTGAGACTAAGAGTGGTTACGTAATTTGCCCGAGTCACAAACCACATTGCTGACAGATTTTAGAATGCAACTCTTTGTTGCTATTGCTGCAAGATGTTTTCATTTACTTCTGGTAGCCAGGAAATTTGGATTTCTGTCTTCATGGAGGATGTCACAGTTGAGCTGACTCTTGGAGGGTGTTTGGGAAGAGCTATAGAGGGCAAGGACAGTATCCCAAACAGACTGAGCAGTACGAGCTATACCGTCAACCTAGAGATTCTTTTCTCTCCTCTCCTAAGTAGGGTTACCTGTTTTCGATTTCTTGGTTTACTTCCTTGATGTGATGGAGCTTAACCTCCTGGTAGCTTCCTAGTAAGGTGATGGGGTGTGTGTGCCTGTGTGTTTGAGACCTTGCATGTCAGAAAATGTCTATGTTCTAAATATTTGCTTTATAGCCTGACTGTATAGAATTCTAGGTTACTGTTTTAGTCAGCATGGAATAGGTTATGCTGCAACGGCAGATTAACTCTGAAATCTCAGTGCGTAAGTAAATGCTTATTGCTTGGTTTCACCCAGTCTGCTGGGGGCCTGGCGCTCCTCTGGCATCTTCCTGCAGTTCCCCGTCATATCACCCCATGGCTCCAGGTTGCCACAGCAGGTGCAAAAGAGAGCTGACAGGTCACAAGCTGGCGTAAATATTTGGCCCAGAAGTGACGCATGTCACTTGTGCTCACAACCCATTGGCCAGAACCAGTCACGTGGCCCTGCAGGGGTGCGGGGAAACGTGCGTGTGCTCAGAAGGGTTGCTGACTGTAAACGTGTGCCGCATCGGAAGCAGACTTTCTCCTGGCATTTCGGAGACATTGCTCCACTAACTTCCAGCTTTCAGTGTTATCACTATGTCAGTTGCCATCTCTTTCCCAGTCATTTGTATGTAATTTTTTTCTCTTTCTGGAAGCTTATAGTATATTTCTGCTATTGTCTAGATTTTAAAATTTTACCACGATGTGCCTGATTATTATTTTTTCTTCTTTGGGTGGACTGAGCATTCCATGGATTCTTCAGTGTGTAAACTTGTGTTCTTCAGTTCAGGGGAAAATTTAAATTTTTCTTCTGTAATGCTTTCCCCTTCATTTTCTCTTTTTTTGTTGGATGTTGGACCTCCTGGATTGATATATTAATTTTTTTAGCCTTTTCTCAAATATTTAAGTCAGTTAATTTTCTGGTTCTTTTTTGGGGGGAGAATTTTTTTCAGTTTTTCTTCCGTTGAATTTTTATTTTGGTTTATAGGAGTTTTTGTTTTCTAACTGTTCTACCCCCACTTTTTAATAAATAGCATCTGACTCTTGTTTCAGATTTGCGATATTTTTTCTTAGGCTTGTTTCTGTTGCCTTCCCTTCCAGTAGGCTTAGATTTCAGCTTTCTCTCATTTGTTTAAGCCAGTTAACTCTGTTGTCATTTGTTTTCCAGTTTTCATTGTCCTTGTGTTTTTGTGTGCGTGTGTGTGGAGATAAAAAAGTATATGTTTCATTAGAAGCTCATCCAAAGTTTTTTTCTTTTTCATAGTTTTTGTTTGTTTTGCCAGGATCAGTGAATATTAAAGTCTTTTACTTTGGGGGAAACCCAAATCTAATTTTTCTTTAAATAAAGCTTTTCAGTGTGTTTTCAGTTAGTGCTGTCATGAAGCCACACCTATGTCGCTGAACTTTGTGCAACTTAATTTATGAAATGCCTGCTGATCTATGGTGGGTAACATGGATTATTTTTAAGTTGGATCATTTTAAAAGCGTCAAGAGATCCCCTGTTTGGCAGCCTATAATAAGTGATTACTTTTGATAATTAAGTTATCATTTTACAGTGTGTATAACCTTTACCATTTTTTGAGATTTTTATATTTGCTTAATAGGGCTGTATCATTCGTTTGAATAATTATTGCTCTGCAGGATGCCCTTTATCGCTAATGATCAGTGAATGTGGTTTACAGTCACTCTTAATATACATTTGATAAATCTTTTGTGGATTACTTTTTGTACCCCAGTCTGCTCTTCTTTATTAGGTATACTTATATAAAATGAGGAAAAGATTGTTTTAACTAAAATCTCTTATTCTCTAATGCAGATTGAATGAAAAACTCTTACATATTCTATGCAAAAGCACTTGAACACATAATTGACACAGTTCATTTTAAATTGGAGCTTTGTGTTAAGACCTAAAGGCTGAAAGCGGTCAAAGCAATTGTTTTACTTTTCAATTATTTTTATGTGCATGTTGCCATTAGGAGTTAAAAATTTTTGCTTTGGTAGTTCATTACATTTAAGAGACTTTATGTATGAACAAATTTTGAAGAAAGAAAAGTAGAGAAGGAACTCCATCATTATACTATTTGGTACAGCACCCCTGTCCCAGAATAAAAATAAACAGCAAACAGATATTTGGGCCCTACTTAATTGTCAACAGTTAGTCAAAAAATTCTCAAAGGAACTTACCTACTTCGTAGTTTAACCAATGGTTTAATACTTTCTTATAGGCAGTGGAAGTGGTGAGACTAGGGATTTACTATGTTTTTAGCTAAAACATTGGTAAGTTCCTGGAAAGGTGTAAAAATGTATACATTTTAAAAATTAGCATGTATATACATAAAGACAGTAATGAATTGGTAATAGGTGTACTACTTTTTAAATACAACATGTTAAAATCTGAATCAAAAAATTGACAGTTTATTTCATTAATCAAATCTTATAAGCCAGCTCCATTAACAGTTTAAATGATTGAATTTATGAACATTTGTTTTATATTCAATTTAATAGCAGTGTGTTGAACACAGTTATAGGAAAAGATACTTAGAAGTGCTCACAAAACTTCTCTACAGGTTAAATTTCTAAGTCTCTGCATATTTTTGTATTCATTGAATCAGATAATTTTAGAGCTTGATGTGTTTTAGAGATCAGCCTCTTTATTTTATATGGGGAATCTGAGACTCACGCAGTGTCACATAGCGAACTTAGTGCTACATTGTATTTTTGTATATAGCCCCCAAAGTGGGACTTGAATCACTTGAAAATTTATTAGGCCTAGAGTCTGTCATACAGAGTGAAGTAAGTCAGGAAGAGAAAAACAGATACCATATTGCTAACATATATATGGAATCTAAAAAAAAAAAAAAGTGTTTTTGATGAACCTAGGGGCAAGACAGGAATAAAGATGCAGACATAGAGAATGGACTTGAGGACACAGGGAGGGGGAAGGGTAAGCTGGGACGAAGTGAGAGAGTAGTACTGACATATATACACTACCAAATGTAAAATAGTTAGTGGGAAGCAGCCGCATAGAACAGGGAGATCAGCTCAGTGCTTTGTGACCACCTAGAAGAGTGGGATAGGGAGGGTGGGAGGGAGACGCAAGAGGGAGGGGATATGGGGATATGTGTATACATATAGCTGATTCACTTTGTTATACAGTAGAAACTAACACACCATTGTAAAGCAATTATACTCCAATAAAGATGTTAAAAATAGAAAATTTATTAGAGCTTTTGCTGTAATTATAAATTCATTCTTAATTTTAAATTATATGGCAACTTTAAATCTATTTTTCTTAACTTGATTATGTTTAAATGTCTCTGTCTGCCTTTTGTAGCCATGCAAATATTCATATTGCTTTTTTAAAAAATAAATTTATTTATTTTAAATTTATTTTTGGCTGTGTTGGGTCTGTTGCTGCACGTGGGCTTTCTCTAGTTGTGGTGGCTTCTCTTGTTGCGGAGCATGGTCTCGGCGCGCAGGCTTCAGTAGTTTTGGCACGTGGGCTCAGTAGTTGTGGCTCGTGGGCTCTAGAGCGCAGGCTCAGTAGTTGTGGTACACAGGCTTGGTTGCTCCGCGGCATGTGGGATCTTCTCGGACCAGGGCTTGAACCCGTGTCCCCTGAATTGGCAGGCGATGCTTAACCACTCTGCCACCATATTGCTTTTTAAAATAAAGCTTATTGTGTGAAGATCCAGAGGATCTAAAAGAAGTGAAAGCAATTCTATTACATTTACTACATTTCAGTTATTTAGTGAGGAGTTGGAGATTTTACCCTCCTTGCAAGCTATCAAGTTAGCCAGAAACAGTTTCATGGTTGCTTCCAGAAGACATGAGACTCCTGGGTCAGAGATACAGGACTTTGTTACTCAGGGTAGTGACAGGCATCTGGTGCCAGTTCCCTGAGCACCAGTGCAGTGTTGAGAGAAGACTGGGGTGGGGGCGGGGACAGAGGGGAAAGCAGGAAACTAATTAGGAGGCCATTGCAGTGATGCAGGCAAGGTAGGACAGCAGCTTGGTCCAGTGTGGAGATTGGACCCCAAAGTGATTGGATTTTG